ACTTTTCCCCCCCTCCCCCCCCATTCTTGTCATCTGTCTCCTTCTCAGTGTGATGGCCTATCAGGATGGTTTTTACAGTGCGGCCGATCTCTACGTAAGTATCGCTGTCCCTCCTCCACTGCCTCACTCGTCACCTACGTCCCCCCCCGTCCCCCCCTCCCTCTTTTTGCCTGTGGGTTTTCAAGTGTGAAACTGCACGGATCAAACTCATAGAGGCGTGTACTTTTGGGTGTTTGGATTCATCGCCACTCCACATTTCATGTTACAACAGAACCTAAGATCTCTCTTTTGTTTCTTTTTTAAAAGATCACAATTATAGTTTTCACTTCTTTAAAAGCATTCAATGTACACACTTCACTTGGAATGTTCCATTAGTGATGTACAGTGTTTCATGGCAGAAATACGATCCTTCCCCCTCCCCACCTCACCCCCCCCACACACACACTCAGTGCAGGACACATTCAAATCGCACACTCATTCACGAGTAGACTCTTCTAGGGTTTGTTTCTGTGCATTTGTGAGTATGTTTTAGTACCAATGTGATTATGAGAGTGTGCCTGTGTGTTACAGTGTGTGCGTGTGTGACCAGGTTGACAATAGCTGTTTCTGTTCTCTCTGTAGACTAGTGTTTCAGGACATTAGTGGCAGATTGCCCCAGGTAGGGTCTACACACTCTGTGTGAGAGCCAGTGTGCATCCTCCTCGTCTCCAATGATTGCGTGCTGCTAGACATTATTGACCATCTGAGATTGAAATGCCTTCTCTGTCTTCTTCTACTAACTCACTGGATTCTGACATGGGTGGAGTTACGGAAGGGGGAGAAAAGAATTCAGTTCCAATCTGATTTGATAATGAATACCATATTCCTCCAAGTGATGTGGGAATGTTTTTTGTTTTTTATTTTGATTCTTTAGTAACAGAGTTTCAATGTAGTGCAATTGAGATTGAAGGACTTAGATCAATTCAATCCAATCCAGGTTATACATTCAGCCAAACGTTCTGAGAGTTAACGAAGCTTCATTTGTTTGCGACTACATCAAAAAGAAAAAAGAAAACAAGACTAGCAAATAAGACTTCCCCTAGGATTTCTTCGTTCTTAACCACACTTTGTTGGCCTTAATTTTAATAGTTTTATTTTAGATCTGTTTTATTTTAGTCCTGATTATTTCAGGATTATTTTTCATTGTTTCAAACCTAGTTTAATGCAGAACTGTAAAGCATCTTTAGCAAGACTGTAAAGTATGCTATACAAATCAAATTAATAAATATTATTATTGTTATGAAAATACTACATTCTAATAAGTGGAGCCAGCCCATATATAATTTCCTTTACAGACTCTTTGAAGAAATGGTTCTACTGAAGACTTTCAGAGGATTGATTGTTTTTAATAATGATCGCTAAATTATTCCGGAATGACAGGGACTTAAACAGATAAACCCAAGTCAGAGAACTAAACCTATATCTGTACCCTTTTTCAAAACCACTATTTGATCCCATTTCTAAATCTTTGTGATTGAGGGGGTTAATAGTAAGAGACCTAAAAAAGGGTATTTTTGCTTCAATGAGTAAATTCCCAAAGAGCCTAAATCTTGGAATATGACTGGTAAATGGCAAACCCTTCAATTAAAAATGTTCCATAACTCCCAACTTGTTTATATTGCTTACTACAAAATGAAAAATGAACGACCGGGGAGAGAAAAATATCCTATTATGTAGCCCCCTATTGATATTTCCCCGAAAACAATCAAATACACCTTCTCGCTGTTCAGCGTTGATGTTTTCGGTCCAGTAACATTTTCCAACGCCTCAAAGCGTCGCCCCACTCACACGCAAAATGGCCTGATAATTACTCATCTTTGTTGCAAGGAGGATCAGTAAAACGGCGCATTTGCATAATAAAGAAAGCTAAAACTCCAGGAAAAGACGACGAAGCTCTGTGGCACAGTGGTAGTCCAATATTCACCCAATCTGCAGTTAATTCCGACCCCTTCCAGGAATCTCCCTATCTGTTTCACCTGTGGCATGCTAACTGAATCAGTGTCAGCATGCAGACGTACTTACAAGGCTGACCCCACCCCAGACCCACCCCCACACACTTTATTTCTTTTCTAAAAAGTCACCTTTTCACTTTTTTTTCCTTTTTTTTCCTCTGTCTTTTCCCCCTCCCTAATTATTGAAGTAGCTTTACTGTCCATTGCATTTGGCCTATTTTCTTTCTCTTTCCGTTGTATTATTTCTCTTTATTTTCTGTTACAGTTCTGTCTTGTTTTTCTCACATTCCTGTATTTTACGACCCACCCCCTCCCCGTCCACCCTCTCTCCCTCCCGCCTAGTCCAGCCTTCCTCCCATAGCAGCAACTGTGTGGTCCTGAATGCAGGGACTTGGTCGTGACTGATTCTTTAGGATAGAATGTAGTGGTGTGCGTTGTTTGTCTTCTTCTGTTTTTTTATTTATTGCTTTTGTTTTTTAATAGGGTTTTATGACCTAATACATGTTCTGAGTTTGGGAAAGCATGCTGTGTCTGTCAGTGATTGGTTGCTGGCCACGTGAGAGTGAGCGTGTTTGCCCCTTTTGTTTTTTTTCTTTTTCTTTTAGTTTTTTTTATCCAACTGGCTGACTATCTTCTTACACCTGTAGTATTCTTTTGTTTTTCCTTAGTGTGTCCGTTCATCAGCTGTTCATCCAAACACGAATAATGACACAATCATCCTGCCACCCCTTCCCCTTTCTCTAACTTTGTGTTTTTGGAAGGGAACGGGGGTGGGACACAGATATGGCCATGAGCTCTCTCTCCCTCTCTGTCGAACTCACAGCCAAAAGCATCGTGTACAATTCAGGCTATTTTTGCTGAGTTAGTCATGGAGGGAGAGAGCCACGCAGAGCCTGAGCTACATTCTTGTGAATGCCGTACTGCACCAGATTATCCAGTTTTGCTGACTGTCTGCTTGTTAATCTTTTCGCTCTTCTCTGCAGTTTTCTCTCACAATGTAACCCTTTAGATTCCCTGTTAGTGTTCTACTCTGCAGACGAAATGGCAGAAATTGAACTCGAGTCTCATCATCTTCTCTGTCCCCTTCCCGCCCTATCCCTTCATCTCCTCTCTCCTCTCCTGCACATCTCTCTCTTTCTCGATTTCCCCCGCCTCCCTCCTCGCCCTCGCCTCCTCACAGGGTGGCTATGCAGCATATCGGTATGCCCAGCCGGCTGCCGTAGCAACCCCTGCAGCCGCAGCCGCCGCAGCCGCGGCCTACAGTGACAGGTAGGTGTCCACAAAAACCCACCACCAAATTTCAGGGTTTGCAAGAGGGGTTGGGGATATTCTTAGCAGCTAAACTAAGACATTATTAATTATAGTTACCAAAAAAAAAAAAAGACTGATTATGAAAGTTTATTAACTGGTGTGTTATTCACAACAGCACATATAAAAATAGTTCCTCTTTCGTGAAAAAAACATGTGCTGGACAGAAGCCATATAAGATTGGAAGAGTAAATAAAGAGATGGAGAAACTTGTTACAACTAATTAGGCTCATTTCAAAAAGTTTAATAACATAACTTGAATTAGATTATTTTTGTAAATAAAATAAAAAACGTGCTCTCTCAGAAATAGATGGATGCAATTAAAAAAAAAGTTCTTTATATTTTATAGAATATTCCACCATCTTATGGACATATCAGAAAAGTTACAAAGTTGATACATTTATCAGAAAAGTTGAAGGTCGAAAGAAACATTTGTTTTTAATGGAGGTGTTAGAAAATCAGACCCCTTAGGAATCACTGGATTTTATTCGAACATGAAAATCTCCACAAGGGCGCAGGGGTACTTCCAAAAATCAGTTATCTTGAACTTTATTTCACTGTGCTATCCACAAATGCAGGTTGTAGCTCATTTATGCAAAGAGCAAGCTATGTGTTGACGGGATCCAGCAACTCCCTTCTTTGGGCCAAAACATCATTTAGAACGGCCATAGAGTGGAAAACAGTTATAAGGACAGACTAATCAATTTTTGAATTGCATCCAGTCATGGGCTGGATGGATACCCCCAGACCAAATCATCCCCATTCAATATGTAATCAGGGCTCTGTTCAGAATCCTCGTCTGACCTGTAGGCAGTCCAGAACTCAGACTCACTGAACACCTTTTGGCACATCAGACAAGTATATGGCCACTGTCCAGCATCTGCTATTGTCATATATATATATATATATATATATGAAAATGAAATTAAATTTTTTATTTAAATCCAAAAATATGTAATGTTTTGTTTTTTATGTTTCCCATTTTGTGTTGCAAACAAAATATTGGTTTATGGATTGAGGGATCATTGCATTTACTTTCTGAAATGAATGACATCAGTAACTTCGCCGTTAATGACAGTGGCAAACGATTTGAAGCAGTTTGCGTTTTCCAAACATACCCAGAAATGTCGATTTTTCCAGCAGTTGCGGCATATTTTGATTCTGATTTCTAATTGAACTCTGTAAAACTCTCTGATGTGTCTCACAGCTATGGACGAGTTTACACAGCAGACCCCTACCACGCTGCACTTGCTCCAGCTGCCTATGGCGTTGGAGCTATGGTGAGTTCATGCAAAGGACACTAAAACTTTCACAGAGGGATGAGTTACAGATTTATACCCCTTTGAATAACAGCTAGTTAGTGCTTTCCATCATAAACAGACTTTTGGACCTACGGGAGCCACCACTCTCACTATCAGACCACTTATTTCTATGAAATCTTAACCTTAAAAAAACAAGCTGGTGTTGGCATGCTCTGAGGCAATCCTTTTCTATTTTAATCAGATCTGCAGCTAAATAAATTCAAGGTACTTTTAGTCATAAAGGGGAAAAAAAGGAATACATAAATAGCATTTTCAGTGTAGGTTCTATAGCGTTTTTTTTTTTTTATCCCATCATTAGACGGCCCTTGTTGGAATGGAAATTAGCACTGGAATCACAGATCAGACACTGTTTAAAAAAATAATATATGTATGTATAATTGTATTATATTTAATCATTTTATGTCTTACTGTGTGACATAGGCATACAATTGTTGTACTCTCCTAAAGGAGACATGTTGCATTTGTGTTTAGGTTTTCTGTTTATATGGGGGTAGTATTCATGTCCAGCACCAATTTATATTTTTATTTTCTAAATTTGTTTGTTTGTTTTATCCAATGAAACGGACGCAGATGGAACACATTTGCCTGTCACCAGCCCCCTGGGTCGAACATAAACATTAAGCCACAGTGGCATTCAACTATAGGGTCAGTGTGGAACATCTACTAAAGTAGTTCCTCATTATTTAACTACTTCTGGCGTTATTTAAACACCAGATTGCAGCACATTTCAGGCAGGTTTGAGTTTGTGTTAAAACTTAAGACTTAATCTTGTTTTGTTTTCTTTTTATCGTCTCAGTTAAGCAATGCAAAATCTTTTTTTTTCACATCATGATTTTTTTTTTTAAATAGAAAATGTCTTTTTGTACCCTGAAATGAAAGCTAGCGTTCTAACTGTCTCTTTCTGCTCTGTTTTACAGGCCACGCTGTACAGGGGGGGCTACAGTAGATTTGCCCCTTACTAAAGACACTACATTTCCCAGGAGCTCCTCTCTTCCATTGAATTTCTCTGAAAGAGCTCCCCCTGTTGTTATGGTGGTGGACTGCACCCCGTTTTACGTGTGGAGTTGACCACAACAAAGAAATTTCTGATCCCACCCCAGAGCAGTCTCTATGTTTTCTTATATACGCTACTACAGAAATAGAGGAATGCTGTATTAAAGACTGAAGGATGGCCTTTACATTTGAAAAAAAAAAGAGAAAAAAAAAAGAAAAAAAAAAAAACAAGACTAAAAAAATGGCCACCTTCCCTTATTGCACGGCTGTATTATAGTCTCCCCCCCTTCTTATTCCCCCTCGGCACTCAGCAGCACAAGATTTGGGGACGGAGCCCAGATGTTCTTCCAAAGGCTGTATGTGGACAACTTGACATTTCAGCAGCCGTCGCTCACGCGCCAGAAAGCGGAGAGAGAGCGCTCTTTTTAACGGGGGAAAAAGAGAGGGACGCCAGAAGGCTCGGACACGTCGGGACGGCGGAGGGAAAGGAGCGACGTGCAAAAAGAGAGAGAGAGAGAGAAAGAGAGAGAGAGAGAGCACCCGGAAACAATTTGACACGATGAGGAGAGTCTCTGATGTGATAAAGCACCCACTGGTGGATTTTAGTTGTCCTCCAGAAGTCGGGGGGAGCGGGGGGGATAGTTTTTGCTCCAAAGGAGGCCGGACATGGCGGTTTGGGAGAGATTGCGGAAGCTGAATGGAGGGAGGGTCTATTAGAGCTGTTCCTTACCTCAAGTTTTCTTAGTATGTGGAAATGGTAAACCTTTAAACTTAAAATTGTTATGATATGCAAAGAAATTAGTTTAGAGAAAAAAAATTACCAAATTATTATTATTATTATTATTATTACTATTATTATTATTACTGTTGTAATTATCCTCATTATTATGAAACCATGGTTTTAGTTTTCTTTTTTTTTTGTCCCAGCTTCACAGCGGTCCAACAGTGAATCTTGGGGTTCAAAATGAGAAAAATCAACCTCGATATTACAGATACTCCATCTTCAGACTATATAGCTCTGCGTGTGTCATCTTTCTGGTGCATATTTCACTACACGTGCAACCTTCACCGAACACTACAGAGAAGCACGACGCCACACTACGAGCGTACTGTTGGTTTAGTTTACAGGCCGATCAGAGCGCCACCTTTAGCCCTGAGGTTCAGCCATCCATCCATCCTTTAACGGTCCTTTAATGGAGAGATGTATTATTTGGATTTGTATCCCTCATGCTCCATATTTTAAAGAGTCAAAGCACCGGACGAGTCTTCCTGAAACACACTTTAGTTGGTAATTGCGACTAAGATGCTGCCAACAGCAATTACTGAGCAAGAGAGAGATTCATTTAGAGTTCATAGTGAATATTTAAATGCAAAACACATTACTATTGTGCATATTTCTATACCATTGTACCCTATATTTCCAAAACGTGGCTTTATTGGCTTTTGTTTTTGTTCCAAAGATTTGTAGAAAGCACATTTTTCTGCCGTATGTATAAATATATTATGTGTTATTGTTATCATAATCCTATAGCTGTCTTTATTTACTTTTCATAGTTTATTTTAAAAGATCTATGTACGCGTGTGGGTTTGTATGTGTATGTATTTCTATATATGCATATACATACGCATTACACACATTATATATATCTATACATATATATAATGTGTGTTGTTCCTTCCTCAGTAAGGTGCACATTTCAAGTTTAGTTTCCTTTGGACTGACGTACCTGGATTATGAGTATACCCAAAGTGACATTTAAAGGTATGCGGGTGACGTTATCCGTTTTTTTCCTTCCGTTTTGTCATTTAAATACTCAATTAATCCTTGCCTTCTTTTTTCTTTTTTAATAGTATTCAGACATAAAAATATGAAAAGAAAAAAACATGTTTTGTTGTCCCCCACCCCCCTCCTTCATGTGTGGCCATAATTTGCTGGTGAGGCATTTGGAATGGATGGATTTTTGGATGTTGGTCTTTTGGAGTATTTTTTCAAATCCACTGCGTTTTATTTCTGTTGTTTGAACATTTATTTCTGTTTGTTTTTTTCATTTTTATTGAACGCAGATTCCTTACATTTCAGAGGCTTAATCTGTCGGCTTTAACCTTATGGTTAGTCCAGGTTTATTCAAAGTTTATCCGCTAAAATGTTCGAAAGTGTTATCCCTCGTTCACACACGGGTTTGTGTTCCTGCTTGGAATCTGATCCCCGCTGTGTGAAGTACTTCCATTATTTAAGCATCTTTTTGTATTAAGTTTGTGTTTGTCTAGGCTCACTATCGCAGGATAAGTCACTTTTTATTTTTCTCGTGCCATGTTTTTTTTTCCAGTTTTTTTCTTTTTCTTCTCCATTTTGAAAAATAGCTTCATGTTAACATCAATTGTGCTCTGGACATATTTAGAAAAGAAAAAGAAGGCGCCAGCCAAAGATGCTCACAGACCCCAGCATGTTCTGGTTCCCAACCCTAAAATAGCTACAAAAAAAAAGGAAGAAAAAAAAAATACAAAAATGGACTTTTGGAGCCACTTGATGGCATGGACAGACCAGCATGAGCGACACTTGTCGAGTTAAAAAAAAATAAGAAAAAAGACATTTTGCATGAATCTTGTGTCTTTTCATGTTTTCTTCCTTGGCAGCAGTACCCAGTTGCTTTTTGTTTCTGTTTTTTTGTTTGAATTTTACCACTAAACTTCTTGACGGGCAGCTGGCGGTTTGATGCCGGTTAACACAATAAAGAGCACAGTGCTGTTTGGCAAAAAATATATAAATAAATAAAAAGGCCAGCTGACAAAATGGCTGCCGTGAAAAGGACAGCTTGGTTTTCCTGTCACGGTTTTTCTCGCCACTGTATAGTAGAAAAAACTATGTGGTCATGTTCATAGTAGCTATTTCTCAAAGAACAGCCCTCTCCCTCTGTCCTGTCTGTACCCCCCCCCCCCTCCACTGCCATTCTGTTTTTTTATTTGGTTTTTTATTTTGTTTTTTGTTATTGAATGTGCATATAAAATGTTTTATATAAAATGTTTTGTTGTGATCGAGCTTACTGTGTTCATTTTTTTAAAAATGTATGAATCAACTATTAAGAAATGTCCATACTGTGTAATTTAGCATGGAGGAAAGAAAAAGTTGAAGGCTAAAGTTTCCCAGACTCTACCTCCTAACGAAAATACTGGCATCTGCTTTCTTATTGGCTATTAGAAAAATTGACTACCTGATCAGATCCTATTTAAAGTTTTTATGTTAAGTTAAGCAAGCAGTAATTGATATACATATATGCAAATCTGTATTTTTTCAGCCCCCCAATAATTGTATTTATTTTTGCTCTTTACACATCCACTTGACAAACACAATGCTTACCAACTTAACAACAAATAAGCATGCATACAAAAAGATATATACAAAGCAGTGAGAGTAAGTGGAACCACACTGGCAATAGAAATTGAGATTACATTAAGATGTGTTTTACCTTTTGCAGCACTTATATTTCTGGAATTCTTAATCATTTGAAATTGAGAAATGCATCATCTGCAACCATTAGTCAACCTGGACATCTAAGAAGTTCAATTGTTTGGTGTAAATAATGAAAGGCCCTCAAGTTGCAAGCATTAGCTGCTTATCTTTATTATGTATATTATTCTTTCTAATGGAAGGTTCACCAGCATCTGTTCCATCCTAGTCTTGGACCATCCCGGTCCAGTTCTGCTATTAAACTGATTAAACTCAGATCCACCCACAGTTGAGAGCGAGTTGCTTCGGGGTTTTGCTTTTGCGTAACATCTGCGGCTGCGTTTGGAGGTTAAGCTTTTTCTATCCTAAAAAGCCTTGACGCTTTTTTTCCCTACATTTCTAGTGGACGTTTGTAGTTGCCTGGCAGTGGAACTACACCCCGGCGATGACCACTATCCACTGGACAAATCCTCTCATTTCTGTAAGACACCTGTGAGGGTTTTGTGGATGTCTTTGGTTATCCAGATCATTCCAATCCCTTTGGTTCTCAGCCTGCGTCGTGACAGTTTTTTTTTTTTTCCTGGTTAAGTTTTTTCCAAGAAAATTTTCCGCTTTTTCATTTAGTGTTTTCCTTTGTATCCCAGCTGCCTGGATCACATTTTTCATATCTTCTCCGATGTATTGATTTTAGTTTCCTGTGATTTTTTTCCACAGAAATGTTATGTTGCTACTTTGCGTCTGTGTTCTCTGAGATTTCGGTTGTTACTTTTGAGAATCTCTTTGTTTGGTTTTTACACGGCCTTCGTGCAGCGAACATAAGAATGTTTTGACTACACTCGAGACCATATTACATAACCTCGTAATTTGAAATGGAATCTACAAAATATTTATGTTTAAAGTAAAAAAATTATTCATAGCTATCCATCCAATATATGGATATGCTGTAGCATGTCAAACGATTAGATGTAGAGTACACTTTCGAATAAGAGAAAGCTACAGTGCCGAGGTGGCAATTAAAGAACATCTTCAACAAAGTCAATAAAGTTCAACCTTTGGGATCACAGTGTTATGTACACAATTTAATGGTTGGATTATTCCAAAGTGATGGAAAAACTGCTCAACATAACCATCCCTTAAGTCATTAGCATGGCTAATTACAACAGCTTTAATGATGCATGTTTGTATATCACATCATCTAGAATAAGTTACAGGTTTGTGTTACATCACTGATTTCAAGACCAGATGTGAATTACCTGAGATTTAGACTTTATTTCTCCATATGAGTTTTGGGGTTTGAGTCGAGACATAATTTCTTGGGGGAAAATGTTTTTTGGACAGTTCTATTGAACAGTGGCTTCCATTCCTATTCTCACATTTACGTGCATAATTAATAAAAATATATATCTTTCATAAACAGCTGTACATTAAGAGGAAATAGCTCCAAAGAGGGGGTTGGGGGAGATGGAGATAGAAGAAAAAGGCAGAAGAGAGGAGAGAAGGATAAGTAAAGATATAACACTGATC